CAGTCAACACAAAAAAAAAAAAAAAAAAAATCCCACCAAAAAAAAAGGATCCCAAAGTTGAGCATAGTAGTAATCACAAACCAGACATAACTTAATAGCTCCAAAACAAATCCAACGACATTCCCTAATGCATCTCTGGCACCCAGCACAATCCCTGGCAGACTGTTTGTTGAATTCAGGAGAAAAAGTGTTTTCTCGCTCTGGCTGGGAAGGATCACAAAACCTTTCACGTGAAATGCCTCTTCAGCTTGGCCAAAACGTGCTTTCTGAGCTGAGAGGAAGCAAGGCAAGGCAGAGAAGGTGACATTCCACCCAGCGCTCTCCTCGGCGCTCAGTGCCCACCTGTCTTGCCCGGGCAGCTTGGCCCGCAAGTTGTCGTACATGCCACAGACTTTGTGCTTTCTCTCGTCCAGCAGGGCAGGCCGTTCCTCTTCCAGGCTCAGGAGGTAACGCCGTTCGTAGTCCTCCACGTCCAGGAGCAAGCTGTAGGTCTGAGGAGATGGGCACCCACAGCAGCAGGTCAGGCGAGCTGCCACAGAGCCTCAGGCCACAACGCAAGTAAACTCAAGTAAGGAAAAACTACTCTTTAAAATACAGGAAACTAGGAAGCAACGCAACCAACTCTTCAGGCACCATTCTCTGTTCCTCTCTGATTTAATCTAGCAGCTGAAGACAGTGAAATAATTACTTTCCAAATTGTCCAGCAGCAACACCAGCGCTGCAACTGTAACATTCTGCATTTCTGCACAAGGACTCCTGCATCTATGAAAATGTGAAGTGCTGCCTCTCCTGCGGGTGCTCACTGGGCAGCTGCTGCACCTCAGTGAGAAAAACACGGTCAGCACCTCCATTACAGACAGAAACAGAACGGCAAAGGAGCCAGCCCTCCCCATCCCTGAGTCAGGCCCTGCGGCATGCGGCTGGCTGGGTTCAAGCCTAGCCTGGACAGCCCAGCAAGACGCTGCCTTAAAAGAAAAAGTGGGGGGCCGGGGATGCAGCTCAGTGCCTCCACCGCCTGTCTCGCAAGTGCAAGGTTCTGAGTTTAATCCCCGGTACCAAAAAAAAAAAAAGGAAAAAAAAAATGGGCTGGGGTGTAGCTTGGGACGAAGGCCCTGGGTTCCATCCTCAGTGCCACAAAAGCAAGCAGCAAACAAACAAAATCAAAAACAATTGACCCCAAGTCACAGATTGACTTAGAAACAGAAAACAGGATTTGTATCCTGGACAGCTTGTGTTCTAATCGACTACATCCTATGGTTCTGCAACGTGGTATTTACGTTTTACAAACCAATTGTCAAGCTGGGTGTGGTGTTGCCACCTATAATCCCAGAGCTCTGGAGGCTTAGGCAGGAGTCTGAGCCAGCCTGGGCTACACAGCATGACCGTGTCTCGAAAAAAACAAAAAAACTCAAAACCCCAAACCAGCTGGCAATGTGTGTGTGTATTCTTTTTCCTCGGTACCAGGAATGTCCAATATATATCTGTGAACTGACTTAACTGACTTAATCAATGGGCAAAACAATGTAATTTTTAGTCCCATTTTACAGGCTTGGAAGCTGATCTTCCAGAGATGCTCAGCCCCTAACTGGACCGCGTCTGAACAGAGCCCCCACATCTCCAGCCTGAACCGCAGTGCTCTCCCCAGGACTCCACAGGCAAGGGGCACCACCGGCCTGTCCCAGTGTGCTTGGAACACAACCCGCACTTCCCAGGACCCTGTTCTTAAGGAAAATCAAGCTCTGCCGCTTCACTGCTTGCCCTTCACGTTTGGGAGCACGTACATTCCACAGCTCCTTATCTGAAACCCCACCAACAAATTCTAAAACTCACTTTCTCAATTATGACAAGTGTTTTTCTTCTCTTGTCTCGAACTTGTTTTTCTTTTGTCTCCTAAAAAAGACAAGAATAGTCAGTGTAAACTCTGTCCTTAAGAACAAATCACCAGCTATGCATCTGTAGGGTCAATTGTTAAAATACCAAGACGTGCAAATCATCCTGACTTTCTCAAACCCTAAGCAACACTCGCATGGACAAAGGTCAGAGTTCACTGGACCCAGGTGTTCAGAAACTATGAAAATGAACTCAGATGCTAACAGTGACTACCAAGTGTAGCAGAGAACGGAGCTATCATAGGAAAATCTGAAAACACACAGGAAACACAGCAGTAATGGTTTCTAGAGAGCAAACTGGAGTAACATGCTGTCTGTGGCCCAAGAGAACCAGTCTAAAGCCTGCCTCCACTCCAGGCCCCGACCAGCGGCCCTCATATCTGAGCACATCTGAGGAAAACCAGAGCGACAGGATGTGCCAGCTCCGCCACGCCTGAGCACACCCCACAGGCCCCAGAAGACCTGGCGACAGCTCCGATGCCCTTCAAAACACACGTCCGCAGCATACTTACATCGTCCTCACCCCGCGACGGCACCACCGCATCGATCATTTTTCGAGGGTTATTCACACTGGAGACAGTGAGCTTTCCCAGTGAGCCCTCAAACTGCACTGCAAGGACAAACATGGCAACAAGATAAAATGCAGCAATGCCAGAGGCCGCATTCAAAGATCATTACTTTCCTATTTTTTATTAGTGGCTTAATAATTTACCACGAAAAATCTATTATCAGAAAGTAACTTTTTTCATTTTTTAGTTGCAATAACTACAGAAAAAACTAAAATATCCCCCCTTATCTATTTCAGAGGTAGTTCAAATTGTAACAGGTTTAAGAAAATGATGGAATCTCAATAGAAAAGGACCCAAGGGGTCATGTGTCAAGCCACTCGGCCTCTGCTCCAATAAAGGCCGATCTCTGCAGCTCACTCTGCAAATCACCGCCAGCATCTCTGTCCCGCACAGTGCGAGGTGCTTCAGGCCCGCAACACCCACCCCTGCCCACCCCCGCCGGGCCCTCACCTGGCTTGTAGGCCTGCTCCAGCTTGGCCACCTGCGGGGTGATGAGCTTGGTGCGCTCCTTTTTAGGGCCATCACCTTGCATTTCTTCAGCAGCTGACAGTTTCTCCAGTTTCTCAAAGTAATTCTGCCACACGAGAAGACCATCAGTTTGGAAACACACACAGACCATGGCTGCTCGTTATCATCACGTGACTAATTTATACCACCGGCAGTAACACAACTTGAACCCTAAAAACGTGCACCTTTTCTGTACTATTTTGCAGGGCCAGGGATCAAACCCAGGGCCCTGTGCACAGGAGGCAGGTGCTCTACCACTGATTTAGAGTGCACTCTTCCATATTTTGGGTTCACGTACCCTGACAGTTCCTTATTGAAAACTCTGTCCCTATGATGACTGTTATCATTCTGTGTATCTAAAATGTAGCAATAAAAATATATACAGGAGGATGTTAGAAAAAACAAAACAAAACTCTAGCAACAAACTCTAAAATTCCAGCCCCATGTCTAGTTTTTGTTAGACTGCTGTAAATTCACTTTGTTAAAAAGTTCTAGGGCCAGGGATGTAGCTCAGTGGCACCGTGCCTGCCTCGAAAGTCCAAAGTTGAGAGTTCAATCTCCAGTACCAAAAAAAAAGCCTTTGGTCTGGGGGTATAAGTAGCTCAGTGTCAGCATGACGGAGGCCTCGGGTTCAAGTCACAGCGCTGCAGTCTTTCCTGTCAAAATACACAAAGGCACCCCCAACCCATGGCCTTCCAAACTGTTACTCAATGAAACTGGGTTAGTTAAGACTTGCTGATAACCTTAATGGGAAGAACTAGACTACTGACGCTAGAGGAACTGAAAATATAGCTTTGACAGCAGACAGCTCAAGAGTTTCTGCCTTAAAAAGATGGAATTTGCTAAGCCCCCCAGTATTTATGTGAACACCCTAATTAGCGCAAGGGGTCAAACTGTTATTCTCAAAACTGACACTGAGAACTCACCTGGTAATAAAAATCATCCAGGTAGGGGTCAGTGCTCTGCAGCTGCATCATCTGGATTTTAGAGACCCAATCCTTTTCCCGCTGCAACATGAGGTTGGCGTAGGGGTCCTTCCGGAGGTGATCCTGCTGACTGCATCGGTGACTTCCTCTGTCTCCAGCACCATTGAGGCTCCGATGCTGACTGAAAAACAAGGGGCACACGGACCATGCCGTATTTCAGCAATACGGGAATAAAACAGGCCAGTGGAAAAAGCTCCCCACTGCTTTTGCTAAAGGAGGAGGGAAGAAGAACTGAATCTTCAGAGTTTAAGAGAAGAGAGGTCTACAATGACAATCAAGGAAATGAAACTAGGGTCTAAGGCCTGTGTGCTCTGCACTTGCATCTGCAGACTTCCATGCCAGCTCTAGCAAGCCCATGGCAGACAGTTTCCTTTGCTCCATTTGAAGGCAACAAACAGCAACCAATGGCAATCAGAGGCATCCTGGTGCAGAGTGGGATTTCATTACAGATATAACTGTGACATCTATGGAATTTTCCTCTAACTCACTGAAAATCATGAAATACCGACCCACTATCAAGGCTTAGTGGAGAAATCTGGCCACATTTGCTTGGCTTTTAGACAGTATTAAAGTAATAAGCTGTTACGCTGACGGTTCGCTGAAGGCCCTCTTGTACCCTCCAGACTGAAGTTTCCAGCTTCTTTACTTTCACTGCTGGGGATGGAAGCTAGGGTCTCACAGAGCTAGGAAAATGTTCTGCCACTGGGCTACCGCCTCACCCAGGTGCCTTCACAGCGCAACCACTATTCCGCCCATGATAGGGATCTTCCCCAAGAGGTAGTCACAGGCGGATTACTCATGTGTCTGTCTTTCTGCCGTGTGCGAATCCTCCCTGAAATGTTTTCGTGCCTGGATTACTCACGTACCTTTCACTATTATACATTATTTTTCTGTATGTCTTTAAATTTTACATAAATGGTAGTAGATGTAGTTCTGCTCCTTGCTTCTTTACTCAATATTATGCTTTTTATGTTTATTGATGTTTATAATATACCTTGACATACAATGAGAAGTGAAACTGCTAGGATGTGGCATAACCACATTTTCAACTTTTATTATCTATTGCCAACTTCTCAAGAAGTTGTACACTGCAGCCTTACCAAAAACAAGTGGTGAGACACCTGGTGTTTTGCCTGTCTGACGGTGAGTGCTTATCCAACCTTGAGGTGCATGTTTCCAACGTGAGTGAGCTTGAACACCTTTTCATCTTTAAGACCAACTGGGTTTCTCCCACCAGGAGTTACATGTCTGTATACAACTTTTGTTATGCAGAAGTTTAATAATTTTTGTTTGCTTTGTTTTTTTTTTCTGGTACCAGGTATTGAACTCGACCTTGAGCTTGCAAGGCAGGGGCAGTGCCACTGAGCTAAATCCCCGGCCCTGACATTTAAGATTTTAGTATATGTGCTGCCAAAGCGAGCATGAAGTTTAATATTTTAATGCAGTCAAATCCATTACTCTTCCCCTATGCAGTTTGTACTTTTTGAGTCTTGTATAAGACTCCACCTCCATGCTGGTTCTTCTTTTCCCCTGCAAATATAATTCCAAGATATTTCTGAAAGTGAGAAGGAATCACATAATACTCACAGAAAAATAAAATTGGCGGGTGAAGAAACCTCACAATTATGTTTAGGTTCCTTATTTGATATAGCTGCATAATTATAGAATGACTTTATATAGACCATGAAGGCAGAGGCTTTATCTGTCCTGTTCTTTTTTTAACCCTCACAACCTATCACGGTGTCTGTTACACAGCTGGGGCCACATATATAAATAAATGTTTATATTTCTGCAGTAAGGGTTACACAGTTTGAGGTAGAATAAAAGAATGACCACTACAGGGTTCACATGACGCCTGAACTCAAGGATGGCTGCTGCATTTTAGGATCACCTCTGAGCTGAGAAGGCAACGTGACAAGGAGTAGAAAATGCTTTCTGAAGAAGAAAAATCAGCTCAACTATGATTCTGATCTATGATCAAAACAACTGTGATAGGCTGGAAACTCACTGATAACTTTTGATTAAAAAAACACAAAATGACAGTATTTATGGTATGAATTTATCAGCAAAACAAGCTCCATACTGAGGAAAGATACTAAGAAAATAAGCTAAGTGGATAGCGTCTCGCTGCTGTGTCAGAGAAACCGGAGGAGGGGGGTGGTACTCACTTCCGGCTCTGCTGCTGTCGCTGATGCAGGAGTCGCCGGTGCTGGGGGTGAAGGTGAGTTGTGTCTGCTCTAAACATTGGGGCCTGAGACCTAAGGAAAAGGAAACAGGGCTTCAGTTCCGTCATGCTGAGGATACGTAATTTTTAAATGTTGTCAGTATGGAGTAACTTTACCCAGGCTCATTCACGGGACTGGGCAGAGTCTATTCTAGACAGGCTTTCACAGCAAAAGACAGATAGATAATTTTTACACATCTTAAAAAGACCAGTTCTTAGCGTCTAAGAGGAAGGTCATGAAATTTCAGGGAATTAGTAGTAAACAGTATACAATTTTTGGGGGCGGCGGGAGAGGTGTCCCTGTTCAATAGAAATCTGTAAAAAGGTTTAATATACTTGGCTTTACATGAGAATGACAGAAAAAATATGTGGGTGAGGGTTAATTTCATGCTGGTCTGGCTATGCTACAGTACCATTACTTGACTGTTGCTGTGAAAGCATTTTATACACGTGATCAGTATTTATAATTAGCTGGGTTCAAGAGAAAGAGACCATCCTCCAAACCTCCAGTGTAGGTGGCCCTGGCCAATCAGGAAAAGGCTTTAAGATACACAAATTTCTCAAGGAAGACTCTGCACCAACTGGACCACAGAAGTCCTGCCGAGTCTGCAGCCTACACACTCAAGACTGCAACTTCACCTCTTACTAAGTGTTTGGCCTGGTGCCTGCCCTATGGATTTATGACTCGCCAGCCTTCGTAACCACCCAGCCAACTCCTTAAAATAAACTCTATTTATGTACCGTCCATTGGTTGTTTCTCTTGAGAACCCTTTTCAATATATACAACAAAACACAACTTCGCCAAAGCAGGAACTTGAACCCCTCACTACAAACCAGAGGGTAGAAGAAAGCAGCCTGGTTAGCACAGGGGTTAGCTAGGTTCTTTCTAAGCATCGCTTTCACAGCTCCTTGTTTATAGTCAAGAAGTGATCAGCACTGTGTATCCATCAGATGAACACTAAGGGGGACACACAACTCATTTTAAAAGAAGTATCAGGTAATTCACTTGCAATGTTCACAGGAAGCGTGAGACTCTTGGGGAAAATGTAAGAAAGCCTGCCGACTGTCAAACATTTTCCTGATTGCCAAGTTGAGGATCCAAAAGCGTCTTCAAACATTTCACTCAGCAAACACCAAGGGGCTTCTGTGTGAGAAAACGAAAGGGCCGGCCAAGAGACAGGCGCGCTTGTCCGTCCTCAGCTTGTGCGTCCTCACCGTAGGGTTTGCAGAGGTGGCCCTGGGCCGGGAGGGCGTGGCTGCGAAGGCGGTGTGGTGGGGGGCGGGCCACTGAAGAAGGCACGGAAGCCGGGGGCCGGGGGGAGCATCTGCCCAACTCGCCCTTGCAGCAGCTTGGGGTTCACGGCAGCAAGGGGGCTCCCAACGAACCCAGGAACTCGTGCAAACTGGCTGGGAGACATCCGTCCAGGCTGCAGCTGCAAACGGGACAAGATCTTAGAGCCAAGTAATCCGTAAGGCCCCCTGCTTTTGACCACGGCAAAGCGGAGACTGTTCCCGTCCATAGCTGTGTGGAAAAGGAAAAGAAACGAGACACAGGAGAGGTGAACCGCAAAGGGGCTCTCGTCCCGGGGGGACAGCATGGAGTCCCTTCCGGCGGGGCCGCCCAGGCTCACCTGAGCGCCTCCAAGAAGCTGTGCTCTCTGGAGGGGGCTGAGGACCGGAGGGACGCTGGGAGCAAACGGGTGACCCAGGAGGGAAGAGTTCTGCAACGAAAACCAACATTGTATCTGCGTTAGGAGAGGCAAATCAATGTGGACATAAAAACGCAAAGCAGGAAAGCTTCCCACGGAAGGAATATAAAAAAGTAATGCTAGAAATTATGACCATGAAACACGAAAAAGAAAGCAGAAGACTGAGGAACTGAAGTAGCAGGAAACAGGCTGACGAGAATGAGCTTTGTTGTTTTGTTTTTTTTCTCCCCGGTACCGGGGATCGAACTCTGGTCCTTCCGCTTTCGAGGCAGATGGTGGAAGCATTGAGCTAAATCTCTGGCCCCCGAGCTTTGTTCGTTTTAAAGAGGTGAGGTAAGGAACAAGTGAATGAGGTATTCTGACTCAGGGATGCAGAAATTCAAATACAGAGATTATTTTTTGAAAGGATAAATGACATTCAGGAGATGCCAGCGCTTCTGCACCCTAGCAGTGATCCCATGGGCAGTGACCGCACGATGGGCACTGCACGGTATGGTCAGGCTGTACGTGACATACCGGGACACTGCAGAGCTGGTTTGGAGACATCCTCTCGCCATAGGGAGCAGGATAACGTGGTGGCATCGGGGGCCGGACATGCACAGGCTTCGGACACAGAATCTGTCAGGACAAACACATATACAACTGCACTCAATAAAATCAGCTTTTCTTCACCTGCACGCCCCACCTCCAGCACTGGCAGACACAGAACTCAACGCAAAGCCCTACCTCTACGCAAACTGCTACGGCTATGAGTTCAGACACAGAACCTCCGGCCACTTCCTCTCACGTGTCGACCAAAGTGTCACTGTAACTGAGGAAGACGCAGCTAACTCTCCAGTTGTCCCCACCCTTCCATGCTACCTGAGGGAGGGACCAGCAGATGTTCTGACCTGTAGCTGCTCTGCAAGAGGATCTACTTGCTAGCAGTGGGGGAGAAGGAATGGTAAGAAAGCTGGAAGAGTAACTAGGTCCTATGCCGAGGCCTGTGATGTGGCCGCCATGCTCAGCACTGTCGTGATACGTGTGACTCCACCGGGTCACAGGCCAAGAGCCTGCCTAGGCCATTCCGACACCACCCTCCCCCCATACCTTCCAAATTGGCCTTCCTTTTCAGCTGCTGGTTTCAGGTGGAGGAAAGTCTATGGAACAGGACTGCACAGGCTCTAGGGAAAGCAGGGATATCTTAAAGGTAAAAAGGGGTGTGGACCATGCTGAGCGTTCCCACACCCCCCCGCTTTCACTCGTCTCTGCCAGCCTGGAGGGCAGCCGGAAAGACAGTTCACAAAGGCGGCTGCACAAACGTGGTAGCTGCCCTTTTCTCCCCCAGTGGAAAGGCGGCAGAACAGCAGTAGCAAGGGTACTAGGGACTGTGTCTCTCCGTACTAACTTCTCCTCTAATAGCTATTTTTCTTTCTAATCGAACGCCTACCCCAAACTTCCCCTCCTCCCACCCGGCATCAGCCATTCCCCGAATAATTGTGCGCAGACCCCCAGTGGCCTGGGCTGGGTGCCTGTTAGTGAGAGGTACCTGCTGGCTAAAGCTGGGTATGGCCATCTGCTTAGGTGGGGTGCCTATGGGCACAGCCCTCACGGGGGGGCTCCCGATGACAGGTGAAGTTGACCTCCGCGGCAGGGCGCGCTCAGAGAGATCCCGATCGTCCTCTGGGCCCTGCGGGGGCCTCTGCGGCAAGGCATATTCTAGCACAGACACTGTAGGCATTTCCTAATCACAGAAGTGGGTAAAGAGCCAAGTGAAAAATCAGCTACCTTGAAATGCTTTATTAATAATCTCTACAGATGTTGAAAATACCTTGAGTAATTATTCAAAAAATTTCTCTTAAATTTATGCTTGGTAAAATTCACTCTCTTTGGTACATAATTCTCTGAGTTTTGTTAAATACACAGAATAACATGAGTTCGATCCCCAGTAAAAAAAAAAAAAACCAACACAGAATAACAGACCTGCTGCCCAATGAAGACACGGAACAGTTTAACACTCGAAAAACGCCTTCGTATTGTCCCTCTACGGTCAACAACCTGTGCCACATCCAATCACTGGCAAACGCTTATCTCTTCTCTGCCCCTAGAGTTCTGTCAAGACTTTTTAAGTCATTCAAACCATATGCTGACAGATATGAGTTCTAGCCGCTCCCTTTCAACTCCTACCCGGGGGTTCAAGGAAGGGCACACCGAGTGCAGCTGTGTATGCGCTGCAGGCAGCAGTAGACACGGTGCTGGTGAGCGATTGAAACCCATGTATTCTTACCACAGGCACCAACTTAACATCTCCAGATAGTACAGAGAGCATGCATAATACCTGAGCAAGTAGTGGGCCTCGGATTCGCCTCAGAACTTCGGATCCATCCCAGATGCTGGAATTCAGACTTCCTGGTTGAGGCTACCAGGAAAGGAAAACATGCACACAAAGTCTGGAATCATGCAGCTCTCAGAACGACTCATTTGCTGGTGCGGATCACAGGTCCAAAAGAGGCTCAACTACTTTTTTTTTTTTGAGACAGCGTCTCACTCTGTAGTTCAGGATGGCCTTGAACTCACTACAGAGCCCAGGCTGGCCTTGAATTCAAGGCAATCCTCCTGCCTCAGCCTTCCAAGAGCTGAGATGACGGGAGTGTGCCCCCACACTTGGCTTTCAACTACTCCAGGAAGAAATTACAGGGCTCCAGGGCACACGATTCTCCAACTTTACCATCTAGGATTGCCATCGTCCGAAACTGTATTGTCAGTTTTCTGTGGCACGTGTAATTTGTAAAGACAAAGCTTAACAGCTGACTCTAATTGGTCTCTTACAGTTCTTAAACCAGGGTAACTTACTCACTTGCAAAACTGGCCTGGTCTGCACTGCTCTCATGATAGCTGGATCTTCTAGCTCATTCTCAATCACCATCTTGCTGAGCCTTTCAGCCAGATTCTCCTCGTGGTCACCGAGCAGGTCCATCTCGTCCCTCTCCCCATTGCCTGCTTGCTCATTAGCTGCCGCCGGTAGCTTCTCTTCCAACTCGGCCAGGCGCTCGTGCGCTTCCTGCCAGTCATCGTCTGTAACAGTGCAGCTCATGTCAGCAGCAGCGCACACTGAGCCCACAGAGGTTCCTGAAATCCTCCTGTTAAGCAAATGCACACTCCCAAGCCAGATGGGTAGAAAGCTCACTTTCCACTTAGAGACATGCATGAAGTAAGTTTAAACAGAGGGACAACAGAGTGGGCTTTTCAGTATTAAGAGCAAAAAAATATACCAGGAGAGGGCCAGGGATTTAGCTCAGTGGTTTCGCCGCCTGCTGTGCAAGCGCAAGGACCCGAGTTCGATCCCTGGTACCAAAAAAAACCACCAAAAAAACCAGGAGTAAAAGTGAAGCGTTTGGGTCAACAGGCCACAGCATTACCGCAGTGTTCCAGTTACAGGTGGAGCTGAGGTCTGAGCTGCTGACACACGTGTACACTACCATCGTGTTTGTAATTCTACTCCGCACACTTCTCCTTCGGTCTCCATGGAGAGCCCGTGGCATCCTGGATCCCATCACCCTGAACTATGGCTCTACCCCAAATCGTCTTTAACTCCCCCTGCAACGAGTCTAGCCTCTACTTTCAACATTTCTTTTGCTGCTCTCAGCGAGGACAGTGTTTCTTTTCTTTTCCAGTACCAGGGATCAAACTTAGGACCTTGCACCTGCAAGGCAGGCACAGTGCCACCGAATTACATCCCGGGCCCCATGAGGACAGTTTGAGTTCTCTATGGACCCTTCGCATCCCTGACAATGGTGAACATTTTCATCTTGGCCAGTCCATTCACCTCTGGGCAAGCTCAGTTAATAAAGGTAAGCGGTTTGCTCACTGCAAGCCAGTACCCATCAGAACACCTGCAGACACTGACTCGTTTTTGCTACTGAGCCTCTTGGGAGCACTCACGACGCCAGACCCCCCTTCTAGCTTATTAACTGGAGAACTGGCTGTGAGACGGAAGTGCTGCAATTTCAAGGGCATCTCACACACTCACACACCCCAGTAATCACTGAAGTTGCAGCTTTCCATGCTGAGTCAAAGCAGAACTATCTGCACTGACTCTTACCTAGTCATCTTTTGAAAAAGTACATTTTATTAGTTCACTTGCTCCAAAGTTGTTCGAAGTAAACCTGCTTTCCAATTTTACCACACAAAACTGCTCCTTCACTGAAGCTCTGGCTGTCAGCTCAATTTAGCTCTTTTACTCTTTTCAACTCCTATACTTTTCTGCGTGTAGGGATGGGAAAGATTTTGCCCGTAAGTCATGAAGACTTCCTAGCACAACAAATCTTGGTACAATAAGCTGTTTACTGAAGATACGCTAAGATAACAGCAAGGGCTATGCAATGCAGTATCAACAGGCGGAATTTTCAAACATACATGTCTACACACTAGAATCTGGATTTCCACTAGTTTGATAAAGTTGTGCACCCTGCTATTAAAACTTCTCCTCACCTAGGAATATCCCTTGTAAATGTCTACGTTCCTAAACATGAATTCCTTAATAGTGGCAACCAAATGGCATAGATCACATAGCTGAGAGGCACAGGACTTAGAGAAGAGGCCTCTAACCTTTCTGGTACCAGAGACCAGTTTCACAGAAGACAATTTTTGGGGGTGGGGGTGGGGGATATGGTTTGGGATGTTCAAAGAAACGCGCAACCTACAGCTGTTGCACGAGAAGTTAGGGTAGGGTCAAGCTCCCTGAGAGTCTGATGCCACAGATCTGACAGGAGGTGGAGCTCAGGTGGTGACACAAGGATGCGAGCAGCTTTCCTGACACTCATTTCCTGCTGTGCTGCAGGCTTCCTAACAGGCCACTGACAGCTACCAGGGTCGGGGACCCTTGGCTTAAAGAAGTGGTTTTATTGCGGCAAAAGCAGCCCAGAGACGAAAGGCAGATGGATAAACTATTCTAAATGAAGGGTGTATTATTTTGCCCAAGATCAAAAGGGATCATGTTGTCAAAGGAATGAATGAGGTCACTCCCAAGACTTGAAAGACTCCAAAGCACCTGAAAAGAAGACAGGCCAAGGTGATACCATTAACAGAAAAATGTCACTTACCAATTGCACCTGACCCAAATGTATCATCGTTGAACTGATCAATCTCCTCATCTTCTTCTCCAAGGCCCTGAAATGCATCTTCATCTTCATCTAGAGGACAATCCTCCAAAGACTGAAACAAGAAAAAAAAAATTAGCTTTCATGAGTGAAATTCACATCCTCCTTTAAAAATATTCTAAAAATGTTCATCTTCCCTTCTCAATGAATGCAATAGTTTCATTATGATTTTTTAACAAACCTTTGTTTTTAAAAAGAGACAGGGTCTTACTGTTTCCCAGGCTAACCTCAAACTTCTGGGCTCAAGGATCCTCCTGCCTCAGCCTTCCAAGTGTGGAGACTACAGGTACATTATGTCACTGCCACCTAAATATTTTTTTCCCCAGTTCTAGGGATCAAACCTAGGTGTCCTAAGTGCCAGGCAAGCATTCTACCACTGAGCTTGCAACCCTAACCAGCTGACCTTCTGTAAAGATAACATTTTTTGCCACTCCCTAATGTCCCTGACCTTGGAAGTTTCTAGTAGCTTCTTTTGATTTCTATTTCCTATTCCTGACTTCACCCGCCCACCAAGCATTCCACTTCTCCAGTTTACCAAGAACCTATTGTCAGTATTTCCTCAGATCTCTAAGAAAAGAAGTGCAGCACAACATTCTTTACATCGCTGGTTGGAATAGTGATAGCAAGTAATACTAAACACTTACCACCTTATTTGAGTTTTATGCACCTTTAGCAACAATTCCCACTTTCCTAATTATATTCATGACATCTTTTCAGCTACTTCATGATTGTTTAAAGCTTTATTTTCCTTTCCCCGTTTCCTATAAACCTAAACTCTGGTGATAAAACAGCTAAATTTTCAACCACAATTAAGTGAACTCTAGAAAAGCTGTGATCTGTCAAGCGAAAGCTCTGGCTCCATCTTACAGGCAGTGTGAACTCAGGCAAGTCGCTTTTCTGATTAATAATTAAATATCTTTTGAGAACCTACTGTGGCTCAGACTCTAGGCCTCAATTTCTTAAATTGTGGCGCAGGGACAAATATCACTTCCCTCCAGTGTGTTGCGAGACTCAAACAAGGCAAAGATTGTCTTGCCTAACAAAAGCTAAGACACTGCCACTACATTTTAGGTGTGTTCTATTTTAACCCCCCCCCATTTTATTCATCTGATTTATTTTCAAAGTTTTCTTTTCCTTTGGCAACTTCCGCCCACATTCATGTTTACATAAAGTCTGCTTGGTCGTGGAGCACTCTTACTGAGTGTACCTGTCCTCAATTTCCAAGGATTCAATCACAACTCCAGTCTATTCGTGGGTTCATTTGTGATCCACCTTGCCTGGCTACCTCTACCCATCCCTGCGGCCTCTCAAATTAACACAAAACAAGAAAGCAACTGCCTCCAAATCAGAGGTAACTTCCAGCGGTACTCGCTTCCAAATCACTAAGATCTACTTAGCCAAATCACTGCTTTTTACACTGCAGTGACCCTCGGGGATCACCTAGATCTTTTCTTTCATCTCACAAACCCAGAAAGTTCAGGTACAGATTTGAAGTCGCTCAAGGTCAACAGCGAGCTGGGGACGGGGTCAGGACGGCCTGGCTCGGCGCCCCGGCGGTCACCTAACCAAGTCCCGGCGCCGGTGCCGGTGCCGGTGCCGGTGCCGAGGGAACTTCTGCAAGACACACCCCCCCTCCGGCGCGGCCCTCCCGAGCCCAGGCCGGGCTGCGGGACCCGGGGCTGCCGGGTCGCGGGCGCCGGTGCAGCTGCGCGTGCGGGGGGGGGGGCGGTTCCGGCCCAGGGCGGGAAACTCGTCTCGGGCTTTCCCGGGGCGCCGCTTCCTCAAGGCGAAGCACCGGGTCGGAGCAACGCGGAGCCCGGCGCAGCTCTGGGGCCGGGCCGGGCCGGGGAAGGTCACTCACGGCGCCTAACGGGTCCCCGCCCCCAACAGAGCCCCGCTCCCCGCCGCGTCCCAGGGCCCCAGAGGGGCCCCCGCAGCCCGCCCGCCGCCCTCGGGCGCCCCCCACCAGCCCAGCGCCCGGCCCGCTGCCCTCGGGCGCCCCCTCCCCCCAGGCGCGCGGGACCGGGGCAAGGGAGGAAGAGGGGGCGCGGGGCTGGGAGGGGTCACTTCCGGTCGCCGGGGCTCACCTCGTAGCGGAACATTCTCGGGGAGGGGGAGGGAGCGGGGAGGGGAGTGGGGAGGGAGGGAAGAGGCGCTGCGTCCCCGGGCTCCTCCGCGCGCGGGTCCTCCACCGGCTCGCGACCCCTGGCCGCCGCCGTACGCTGGAGCGTGCGTGCGAACGTGCGCAGGCGCGCCTTGGGCCGGCGGCTGCCCCGCTCAGCGCCCGGCGGCGGCGGCTGCGCGGGGACGGATTTGGCGTCCCGCTCCCTAGTCTCCGCGGCGGGAAGGAGGTCCCGTAGTGAGAGACTGCGCACGCGCCGCCCGTCGGGGTATTCGGAGCGGGCCGGAACCTGTAGCTCCGCCCCCGAGTCTGGGCTCCCTCCCAGCGCTCGGCTCCGAGCCCGGGACCCGGTCACGAGCTCGCGGCCGCGGCGCGGGGCGGAAGCCTCGTGACAGTCACGGGATGCGGCCCTCGAGACCCCCGGGCCGGCTCGCGTGGGGCTGGCGGAGGCCGCTCCTCCGGGCCTTTTCCACAGCCCGGTGCCGCTCGCGTTCCGTGAACCGGGAGAAAGGTCAAGTTCGGGCCCTGAAAAGGGGCCCGGCGCCCGCGGAGCGACGGCGACCTCAGGCTTGGGCGGCCCAGCGCGATGACGGCGCCCGTTGTTCTATTACTTATCATATTTTACTGGGGATTGAACCCAAGGCCTTTGTATGGAGATGATTTCCAGCTCTATTTATTACTTAATTTTATTTTGAGGCAGGGCCCTGGTAAGTTGCCTGGGCTGGGCTCCAAGGTGCGATCCTTCTGCCTCAGCCTCCCAGAATGCTAGGATTTACAGATGAGCGACACCATGCCCAGCTGGCGCCCGCTTTGCAATAAAACCCAGAGCTCGATCCGGGATGTTTAACGGGCGATCATATTTTCAGGCTCCAGGCGCCTCAGGCACGTGGAGCCTGCTGGAGAGCCCGAAAGGGAAGCCCAGCCAGGGCCTGGGTCACAGGCAGCTGCGAGGCCGCCGCCGCCGAGCCTGTCTGCACCGCTGGGCGACATCACTTCTGAGAGCACCAAGCCTAGAGCAGAATGAATTCCCCCTGTGAACCTCTGCAGCCTGGATCTGAAGTCTTGGTGGTCTGTTGCTCTTCCTTCTCTCCGTACCCGAGAGTCCCGTTTGAGGCCACGAACTCTATTTTTTCCTTTCAGGACCAAACCCGCACCAGGAAGCATTTATAGTCTTGTGGATTTCACAGCCCCTTTTTCTCTGTGTCCTAAAATGTGGCCTTGCCCGGGAACAGCCTGCTGTCAGTTCCTTGTGTGCTGGGAATGTTGGATTTGGAAATAGAGGGCTTAAGTGCTTCACGGGTTAGCTCCTGGAATCATTCCTTGTCTTCACCCATGGAGTTGGTATGTTACTTTCTGCACTTTATAGATGAAGAACTGGAGAGTTAGAGGCATGAATAACTTGCTTCATATCATCCAATCGCAAGCGGCAAAGTTGAAGCCCATCTTCTGAATCATGGTGTCAGAATAAGGAAAGCACATGCTTACGTGGCTCAGACTTCAGTTTAGAGAAGTGGAGGCTGGCCAGGGATGAGAAAATTGGTTCTCATGCATGCTTGAAATAGCATAAATCTTCGTGTACCAGGCAGCAGCGAATCATTCACCAGAGAATCGATGGCACATAGACCATGTGCTCTCAATAATGATGGCCCGCAGCTGAACTTGGGCAGCCACCCTGTTTTTGTAAGAAAAGTTTTAACTGAAATACAGCCACCTTCATTTCTTGACAAATTGTCTATGGTCACTTTGGGAACAATACGAAGAGATGGAGGAAGGGAGATGGGAGGGGTGAGGAAGGGGACACAAAAAGAAGATGCGTGGGGCCAGGGATTTAGCTCAGTGGTTTCACCGCCTGCTGCGCAAGCGGAAGGACCCGAGTTCAATCCCCGGTACCAAAAAAAAAAAAAAAAAAAGATGTGTTATGTACTTGTGCCCACTCCCCCCCATAATGTAATCATCATGTACTGCAAACATGGACTAATAAAAATAAAAGTTGACTGCAAAAATGTGAGATATTTATTCTGGTCCTCTATGGAAAGATTTTGCTGACCTCTGATGTTACAGATCATGTTTTCTGATCATTATAATAGAAATAAATAGGGCCGGGGATGTAGCTCCATGGTTCCGGTGCCTGCCTCACAAGCGCAAGGTCCCGAGTTCGACCCCCGGTACCAAAAAAAAAAAAAAGAAAGAAATAGATTAGAAAAAAATCTTAACATTTTCACAAATTAAAAAGAAAGCTCTTACCAGGCTGGAGGTCCAGCTCGGAGGTACAGTGCTTGGCTAGCGTGTACCAGGGTCTGGGTTTGAGCCCTAATGTTGCAGATAACAATGAAACACCCAGAACGAAACACACATGTACACAAAAACCCTAATATGTGTGTGTTTATATATTTATATATTTTAAGTTGCCTCATAGGCCCCTGAACATGGAGAGAGTACAAGTTCTTTCCATAAGTGATTTTGTTTTGTTATTTGTTTTGCAGTATTAGGAGTGAAATTCAGTACTTCACAAATGCCAGGCTAGTGCTCTACCACTGACATCCCAGTCCTCACAAGTGATTCTTTTTTTTTTTTTGGTACCAGGGATCGAACTCGGGTCCTTGCACTTGCAAGGCAGGCGCTGGAACCACTGAGCTAAATCCCCGGCCCCTCCCAAGTGATTCTTTAGACCAAATCTGACACCCCTGGAGAGTCCCTGAAGCATGTAGAACAGAGCTCCCTCCTTCATGCCAGTAGGTGGAAGGGGCATTTGAAAGCTGCAGGAAGATAGCATGTCAAGAAAGTCACTACCTGGGCTGGGGATTTAGCTCAGTGGTTTCGCAGCCTGCTGCGCAAGCGCAAGGACCTGAGTTCAATCCCTGGTACCAAAAAAAAAAAAAAGTCACCACCCTGGGTTTCTTTATCTGTGCTTTCTGCAGGAGTGATTGCTAATCTGTCACAGTACTTGCAGACTGTGTTAACTTTTTGTTACTGTGACAAAATACCTGAGAAAATATAAAAGGAAAAGTTTATTTTGGCTCAGGGTTTCACAGGTTTCAGTGGATGGTCAACTTTCAGGCCTGTGCTGAGGCAGGAACATCATGGTGAAAGGGTGTGTGGTGGAGGAAAACTGCTCACCTCTTGGCAGCCAAGAAGCAGAGAAAGCAATAGAGGAAGGGGCCTGGAAAAGGACAGTGTCCAAGGGCAAATAGCCACGACTCACTCCAGTAACTAGGCTCTGCCTCCTGGGGCTCTATCACCTTCCAATAATGCCATCAACTTAGGAATTCATCAGTGGACAAACCCACTGTCGAAGTTAGAATCCTCATGATCCAATCATCCGAACACAACACCACTGAACATTGCCATGCTGGGGACCAAATCTAATGCACTGGAGCCTTTTGGAATGTATTGTTGACTTCTTTGACTAAAGAAATGAGAAGAGATCTTGTGCTTTCTCTGTCTGGTCTTTAAGAAGATCTGTAATATAGTAAGATAGCTGGCCCCTTTGCTAAAGAGATTACATGGAGAGGAAGGGGTGCGGCTGTATTCAGCTTATCAGCCATGCCAGGAAAGACCAGGTAGGTGAATGAAGCTGTATTGGTTGCTCCACACCAGCTAGGCTGGCACCCAAATATTGAGCAACTCCACTGAGTGTCATATGGAGCAGAAGAATCACTCAGCCAAGCCTTTCCTAAATTCCTGACCCATAAAATCGTATATATAATACATTTTCAGGGTTTCACTTCCGCCCTGTGGAATCCAAGCCAGGGCTGCATGCTTGGTAGCCCAGTGCCCTACTGCTGACCTACACCCCTAGTCCTAAAAGGTTGTAGTTTTAAGCCATAAAATTTTGGATTAGTTCATTACTAGTAGATAACAAGTCGGTTTAGAATGGTAATACAATGCTTGAAATAGGGAAAAAGGATTTTTTGAGCCCTTTCAGTGTTGTAATGAGCATTACCTAACAAGTCTGCCTGAATATCATTTGAAGTTCTAGTGAGAGGTCGCTTTGTTTGACTTAATGAAGAGTCAGATTCTACTAAGTTAAATACTAATTTATAGATACAAGTCGCAAAATATTTGTTCAGAGAGTGGTTTCCTTTTCGTGGAAAAGATAATCTCAAAGGGGACAGTTTTATTACACTGCAAGACACTAAGCAATGTTATATTTAAGTCCTCAGTCTTATTACATAAAGCACTTTAGTTCTTAGTTTCTTGTATCCTCTCTGAATCAGCTTTCCCAGCTTGTGTTCTCTCAGTGAAATACGTAAATCTTTGATACATGCTTGTAATATATTTGAGAGAGAATCATGTTTTT